TAAAAAACCATAAATACTCACCCCTCTGTCTCCTGCTCCTGCTCAGAGCTCAGCTGGGTCTCCTCTGCCTCTGGCAAGGTGTTTCCTTAAATAGAGGCCTCCCCCAGCAGAGGGCTGGCAGCAGCTATTCCAATGCACCCAGGCACTCAATCACATGCAAAACAATGCCCCTTCCTTTTCCTCTCAATTGCAGTCAATCACAGTCAAACAATGCCCTTTCCTCTCCCTCTCTCAAGCAGCCAGGAATCTGCAAAAACTCCAAGCGCTTCCCCACACTCCCAGACCAGTTCTCCCACCAAAATCGTCAGCTGAATCCTCTCAGCTGAAAGCAAGTAAAAAACCACTCACCCCTCTGTCTCCTGCTCCTGCTCAGAGCTCAGCTGGGTCTCCTCCTGGAGATTTAGGGATGGTGCCTAGGGAGGATGGAGTGTGGGGTGGGGATGTGATTCCATAGATTCCCCCCCAAAGCTGCCATTTTCTCGAGGAGGACTGGTCTTCGTAGTCTGGAGATAGTAGTAATTCTGGGAGAACTCATGGCCCCACCTAGCGGTTGGCAGCTATATCCACAGCAATCTAAATAAATCTTTGTTGGGATGATAAAGTGTTAGTCATGAGTGCATTAGGTCTTCAGTGCTCAACAGAATCTGGGTAGAGGACCTAGAGTCATTTGTATCAAAAGCATTACAGTATTACAGGGGCAGCAGCACTGAATTTGGAAGAGATGCGTTTACCTTCCTTCTTCCACTGCTGTTCTGCTGGCTGCATTTTTATGACAAGCAAGTGGATTCTGCTACTGTTGAATCATTATTATTAAATTTTATCAATTCAAAAAAATGCTCTCCTGTTACATATAAACAGACATCTTCAGCACATGGGAAATCTGAGTGTCTTACTGATAATAAAGGTATATGTAGAACCATGTTTTGCATCAATGTTTACTTGCTGTATATATGTAGGGTTAGAAGAAAGTGGCTTCTCCAAAGAGTGTTGTAGGAGTGTGCACACATATTGGGTAAATTTACTGTTATCTATTTTTAAAACTTTTAATAGGAACAGAAAGTCTTCATGTATCTCAGATCTTACAAAAAGCAAAAATTGAAGTTAGTGAAGATGGAACCAAAGCTTCTGCAGCAACAAGTAAGTAGCTGATTTAGTTATGCTACCAGGACACCAAGGAGCTGCGGTGGCTCAAGTGGTTAAGACGCTGAACTGCAGGCTGTAGAAGGTCAGTAGTTCAGCAGTTCGAGACCCGGGTGCCGCACGATGGAGTGAGCTCCCATCTCTAGTTCCAGCTCCTGCCAACTTAGCAGTTCAAAAGCAAGAAATTGCAAGTAGATAAATAGGTACTGCTTCGGTGGGAAGGTAACAGCGTTCCGTGCGCCTTGGTGTTTAGTCATGCCGGCCACATGACCACGGAAATGTCTTCGGACAGTGCTGGCTCTTCGGCTTTGAAACGGAGATGAGCACCGCAACCCTAGAGTCGGATTCAACCGGCTTTTGAGCAAGGGAACCTTTACCTTTTTACCAGGACACCAGGAAACAATTAAAATAATGATATGTTTGTTACTTGTAAATAATTATGAATTTTAAAGCACAGTTGAAATGGCATGAACAATAACTTTTCAAAGGTAATGGTGGACTTCAAAAAAGCAGGCCTGTATTTTTTCAGAGCCTGAGAAATAGTCCTGCATGAGACCAAAGTCACTCTAAAGCTGTGGTACATGGACACAAAAACTGTGAAATGTAACACTCCGTAACTGCTGGACTACAGAATGTCCTGACCATATAGCCATTTGCTAAACTAATATAGTTTAAGGGTAATCAGTTTTTCCAATGGGGGATTATTTTGTATTGCAGTCCCCATAAACGTAAATGTTACAAAATGGAGGGGTCTAGATTTAGGACCACAGAATGACTACACATTCTGTTTCTCTTTGTTCCAGCTGCAATTTTAATAGCCAGATCATCTCCTCCTTGGTTTGTAGCAGATAGGCCATTTCTCTTCTTCATACGACACAACCCTACAGGTAAGCTGTTCTTTTTTTGCTCAGCTTCATGCTCTTAGACTGGCAAAATGCAAACAACATTTCCCTGGAGACAGAAGCCTGAAGCTCTAAAACAATAAAGACAAATACTTTGGATCTGCTTTTCTTATCAGATGAGGTCCCGGAACTCCTCTCATCTACATCGTGCACAGGAGGTTTTCTTCTCTTAAATACGAGAGAGTAGTCAGCAGCTGTGCAGGATGTCAACACTTGAGGGGTTGTTGCCAGGAACTAACAGGCCCTCTGTTCTGCCAACGTATTTGCTAGTTCATCTACATATATGGTGCATGCGGAAGGTAAAAGTACCAAATCTGGAGGGGGAAGAGTCCTGGCAGTCGTCCCCAGCCATAGGCAGCTTAGGACATCAAAGGCGCATTATGCAGTTCTGAAGAAGAGCACTGGCCAGTCGTCAAAACACACACATCCTCTGTTTGCTCCGCTTCTCTGCTCTGTTTTCCTTCTAATTGATATTCTAGGCTCCGCATTTGCTAACTGCTTAGGGAAAATGCTTCTTTCCCCCCAAATCCAGAAAAATGATTCACAAAAGTGAGTGGCTGGACATTTTAACGAAATGTATTGGCAAAGCAGCACTTCAGGCTATATTTCCCCTCACCTGCTCCTCTTTTCTCTTTACGCTGCAATCAAAGCGAGGCTGAAAATGAAATCATCTTAAAAGAATCAGCTTTAGTATATTAAATACCTCTTGATACAGAATGCCCCACAAGGTGCAGTGTTACTGGCAACAATAAACTCTGATTGGGAGAAAAAGGAAGACAGTGGGACCAGAATGCACATCTCCCACTATACTAAGCAATCCTTTAATCCTGCAGCCACAGAAGGAAGACCCATGATAAGAGTAATTGTTGTCTCCTAGTAACCAAACCCATGACATGTTCCTCCTTCAATCTATCACACACTGGACTGCTCCCCATTCTTGAATGGAGTTCACAGGTTTCTCCTCCCCCCCCCCCCCCCCGTTTTCTGGTGTTCAGGAGCAAGATTCTGATTAGGACCGTGGCATGTGGTGAGAGAGTGGAATGAGTCTTCACACCCCAAGGAAAAGGGTACAAGGGGGGAAACTTAATCACCACACCCTGTACTGTGGTCCTGCCTGGAATTGGGTCCTCACACACCTGAAAATAGATTTTTTGAAGAACACTAGAAACTCTTTGGAACTCTCCGAACATCTTGTTGGGTATGCCTCTTACTTTGCTGGTTCCCCAGTGGCAAGGTTATGGGCAACTGATGGACTGTCCTGACTCAATTGGGATGGTGTTTTCCCATCCCCCAACCTCCCCAGTTTATATGCCACATCATGGAGATAACTGAGGTGGATGGGGGAGATTACTGACTCCTTATATGTAAGCCATACTAACAGAGATGTATTAGAAGCAGTCACCAATTTTATTGAATAGCGTCAGTTGAGAAGTGAAAGTTAGAAGCTTCACAGAAGAATGGAGTTGCTGGACATCCTGTTCCTGTAGTGCCCCCCATGCATGCGAAAAGTTGCATGACAGGAACAGCAAGGGTTTTATGTAACTTATACAACCTTCATGTTAATTGACAAAGTTTGGGGGGGGGGGAGCACTGAATGGGCATAAGATTGGCCTGAACCCATTCACTAGACTGTTGTGATGTGCTCTGTGTATGTTTACATGTATCCTCACAAGACAGTGAAGAAATGGATCTCTAAAGTCTATGGCCCTGACTTATCTTTATAGTCCAGGCTAGCCTAATCTAATCAGATCTCGGAAGCTAAGCAGTGGTGGCCCTGGCTAGTATTTGGATAGGAGACCTCCAAGGAATGCAGGCAGGCAGTGGCAAACCACCAGTGAATGTCTCTTTGCCTTGAAAACCCTGTGGGGTTGCCATACGTCAGCTCTGACTTAACAGCACTTTTCACTGACCAAAGCCTATGAGGATTCCTCTGCACATTAGTTCTGTGCTGGGTTGTGTGTGATCATATCCATAGTTTTCATCAGCTTTGACTTAGCATTCTTCATACTTAATGAAGGCAGAGTTGGATTGTGCGTGTGATGCACCCTGTGATATAGCCCTCCTCCCGACCTGGAGAAAGGGAAACTCACTAGAGGTGCCGTGGGCTCTTTATCAGATCCCAAATGCACATCAAATAACCACAATCTTTCAAAAGACAATTTATTTTTACAAAAGAACAAATATCAGTACCTTCAAGAGTCCAAAACAGAAAACTTAAAAAAGAACCCAGCTACTTGAACTATCTCACTTTGTCTTTAAAAACAGGCCCTTGTTCCTGGCAGAGGCTTAGGCAGGAGGGAAACAAAACTTTCAATCTTGCCAGCTGCACATCAATTTTGCCTCCTGGTAGTCTGGGTCAGCAGCAGGCAAATCCTCCTTCGGGAGAGATCGAGATAACCCCCCCCAACCTTCTACCTACCAGTTTTATCCACCATCTCCCCACTAATGAGCTAATTTAATAAACATGACCTTTTCCAGCCAATACACAAAGGCTTCATCCTTGACAAACATCACCTGTTAACAATTTGTCAAATTAACCAGAACATAGGGCTATTATCTTTCTCTTAACAGTAATAAAGTTTTAAAGAGCAAGGTGCAATTACAACTGGGCATCACAGTGTGTGACTTACATGAGTTTAGGTCACTTTTCCCTCACAATTCTCCGGAGTCAGCAGCTTTGAGCTGGGAGGTGGTGACTGGACAAGGCCACTTAGCAAGTTTCATTGCTGGAGGGGGGGGATCACCTGAATCCAATAACGAACTACTAGACAGCAATGCCTCCATTTTAATAGATGTGTGCATAAATTAGTGATGGCTTAGAAGACATGACTTAGAATAGCTGTTCCCAGATCCATAGCACTTTGTTTTGATCCATGCATGGGCCAGCATCTAAGAATGGCTTGTTTTACTTGGCTTTTGCAGATTTACTGTGTTTCCCCGAAAATAAGACACTGTCTTATATTTATTTTTTCTCAAGAAGACACACTAGGGCTTATACCACAAATGCATAGAAATCCTGCTAGGGCTTATTTTTGGGGTAGGTCTTATTTTCGGGGAAACAGGGTAGTAGCTGGGAGCGGCTGTAGCAAGTATAGAGTACATAGCTTGGTCTCTTCCTTCCTATTCTTGGGGATTGTGGTGTATGTTGTGCTTTGTTTTTGTTACCTTTGGGGGAAGTCTGGGAACCTGCACAAATTGTGCAGGGTTTGTAGTAGGAGTATTTAACATTTCATTAATGCTTGGGTGTCCAATACATTCACATCTAACTATGTTTAAGTCCCAATGATTTCAGTTCTACACTGAAATCAATGGGACTTAAGTGTTTGAATTTACCTAGATCATACCCTTGATGTCTAATGACTAAGTTCAAGAGTTGTCCTTATTTTCCCCCAAAAAATGATAGAATACTCTGAGGCTTATAATTGAAATGCCTTTATGAAAGAAAGCAAAAACAATGGTTTATAGGATAATTAGCAGTAGGACCCAGTATAGTGTCATGGTTAGAGTGTTTTGGGAGACATGGGTTCGAATCACCATTCTGCCATGGAAGCTTGCTGGTGTTGACCTTGGGCCAGTCATGCTGTCAGCCTAATCTCCCTTTATATGGTGGTTGTGAGGATAAAACTAATGACAGAACAATGTAAGCCACTTTGGGTCCCAGTTAAAGGAAAAGCTGAGGTATAAAAGCTAACTCTTAAAAAAACACCACTTTTTTCCCTTCCAAACATCCAGTTTGTTGTATGGCTCCTGAAAGACTTAAGGAATTCATATTTAATTGACTTTCAATGTCCAGTTGATTAGTATAAATGTCCATGTTACCAAATCATAATTATAAGTGCTTACTTGATATACTTAAGTGAGAAGTTGCAGTTCAATAAGCAAAAGCTGCCACTTTTATTCTCTCTTACAGTGATGCCTCAAGCCCAAAATAGCCCCAAATGAACTCTTAACTCAGTCACTGGGAGCCAAAGTGATTTGATTAATCAATTTAAGTCCTTAAGTCTAATGAAAGCATTCTTATCTAGCTGACACTAAATTTAAAGACTGGCATACTCTTTTAAGCCAGGCATATGTGAATAATCAAAATCTGCAATAATATTTTCTTGTTCTTCAGGTGCAGTTTTGTTTATGGGACAAATCAACAAACCTTGAAATGGGAAGAAATTTTTCTGCAGAAGCAAATAAAGATTGAGGCTCTTCTGTTAAATATTTTTGTACACTGTTCTTTGGCTAAGAACTAGTTTTTAAGTGTGATTGGTCAACTATGTTTTGAAGAAGAAATCTGAAATAGCTGACTTCTTGTGTGTGCAGGGGGTGGGAACAACTTTTTCAAAACAGTTTAAAGATTCTTAAAACTACTGATTGGTTCCCTGTGCTAACAACTTTTGAAATTCTGTTTTGGTCTACATATTTTGTATTGTGATTTGAAAAGTCGTTAACAAGAGTTGGAACTAAAGGGACATTTTCTATTTTATTTTTTACTTTTGGTTTGTACCTTGCCCTTCTAATACTGCTGTTGTCCATGAAATGGTTGGTGGGGCATCCTTGTTAGAAATAAAATTTAAAAGCTTTAGCAATTTTTATTTTATGTTGTGCATGTATTGCTGAGACTTAAAACAACTAATGTCCCGGCTAACGCCTTTGCATTGTTGTAATGTAAACTTGTTATTGCTAGTATACACTTTCTATGGATTTAAATTTTATATTTTTTTGTACAAAGGAAAAGAAATAAAAGCAGTATGAACAGTTGGAAATGACATAGCATCAGTGTGATGTTGGAAGGAATTCTTTTGTTGTCCTCATGGGACGTGCATGTAGCAAGCTGCCAAATGAAAGGTCAGGCTTCATTTCCCTGGTTGGATGGAACTTTGGTGCTTCTCATATGTAGTAAATAGTTTCCTTGCCAAGAATGATTGGCACCTTATATCTCTGTGGAATATTTTGAAATGCCCTGTGTTTTTCTGTGCATGCAGGTAACTTGAAATAGTTGTATTGGATGCTTATGCCAGAAGCCCTTGCAAGACACTGTATGTTTTCTCTTTAAAGAAACTCTAAATTTATCAATAAATGACACTGGTTAGGGCTAGTGTGACATTAGACTTGCATAAGAGAGAAACTTTGGTTGGGCCTTCCCTGTTTAAAATATTTTCAAATTCTGTAGTCTCAAATCTGGAAAGGAATCCATATCTGCTAATACTTCCTGTTTGCTACATGAATGAGACCAGACAACTCTTTATATACTTCTAGATATGTGTGTTCATAAATGCTGGCTTATTGTAAAATTAAGTGGAAGTTGCATCTGGCATCAGTTACCTGTTCACAAGTAGAATAACATTAATTATGTTAGTATATGCGTATTTGCAGAATGGGATGGAATAATACACACACTCTGATTTCACCTTCGGTGTACAATCCTACAGGTAGTTTTCCCCAGTCCTGATGAAACATGATTGTTTTGACATACTAAAGGCTAAATATTGGCTCTTATTTCATCATCCTTTTGTGTTTAGTTAGGATTCATTGACTTTTTGATTCCATGTTTTAAGAAATAGAATTTTGGGAAGCCTTTAAATAATGCTGCTGTTACAAAATGCTGATTTTTTAAAATAACGAACAGGAAGCAGCAACCAGGGTTCATATACAAAATGGCAGCTGTGATGTCTGCATGCCTGTCGGAAGCACTGAATATGTCATAATCACAAGTTACTTCATTGCCTATTTCAGGAGTTGTGAAGATTCTTTGCAATCTACTTCTTGTTTTTAATATTATGCACATTTAATTTTTTTCCTGGGACTTTAGTTTTCAGCATGTTAAAAATCAAATAAAAGTATATATGGCAACTGCCTTAAACCTCAGCTACCAAAAAGCAGCGGAAGTGGCTGTGCTCCAGCAATTGCTACAGGGGGCGTGGAGGGGGGAAAGAAATGTAAGCCATGCATGTGTGTCTCAGACACATGTTACAACGCACTGGTTTTTCATTTTAGGAATGAGTTTTGGCTCACATACTCTTCTTTACCACTCATGTGCAGTTTAGCAGAGAGTCCCCTTACACTTTAAGCAGAAAGGACAAAGCGCCTAATTAAGGTGGAGATTTTGTACAATGATCGCTTTCCAACTATAGCACTGCAATGAGCTTGCTATTCCAAGACAGGCTATCTAGATATAGTAGGGTCTGCTGAGGGATAGATGTGTCCCCTGTGGCTTGTATCGGGTCCTCCACATGATTTTATCTGGCAGTTTGAAATACTCTGTAATGGAGATGTCCTATATATGTTTATAATGGAAGCCATGTCAGCTGACATTGGATCTCCGTTTTACATTCTTTAAACTAGTATTATTTTAATACAGTCATCGTATACCTCTTCAACAAATTAAAACCTGATGTCAGAAGAGCATGCTGAATATTTGCTTTCCGAGGTTGAATTAGTTGAAAATTAGTTACAGTGCCCTCTTAAGGACAAATCACATATCACATAATTTTTTGTCATTCGATAACTAAAGAGTGTGTCTCGATGATTCCAGGAAGGATTAAGTAAGATTCTACTAAAATACCAATGATGTCTTTTTAAAACCTGAGTTTGCTGTTTTAGGAATGGAAAAATAAGAATATGAAGTGAAATAAAAAGAGATGAGAGGCTGTCTTGAGCCAAACCATAAAATACCAGTTTGCTATAAGCAGAACAGTAAAGCTATGAAAATGCCACCAGATGGAATAGAATAATTAAACATGCATCTAAGGATTCAATTCCATCAACAGAGACTAGTAATACCTTATCTGAGGCACTGTCACCTTTGTTGGCTTAGCAAATTGAAAAACATTCCAGGAAAATAAGAATGGGATTTTGGAAGGCACCAGCTAAGGCAGCAAAATGGTAGATTGTAGCTTGCTTTTTATTAGCTAACTTGAGTTTAAGAGGCAGGGCAGTACAGAAATGTAATAAATGTTAAGCCCACTGGTATGACCTTCCACAGAAAAGGCAAACAGAGCAACTTGATAGTGTGGTAACCCAGAAAGGGAAGGGCTTCTGAGAGATGGATAAGGAATGGGGCTGTTGCACAACTTTTGTTCTCCCACATTGTCGCCATGCTAGGATGGGGAGGAAGATTGTGTCCTGCTTTGGTATTCAGGGCTATTTTTCAATGTTTGAAAAGAGAGACAAATATCCCAGGAAGGTTGAACTGTCTGCACACACATTCACACATATATTCAGGATTAAATTGTGAAGGGGAAAAGAGTACCTTTTATTCATAACAAGATCAATTGTGTTTTTGTTCCAGCCTTAAGCCATACTATGGTTTCTGTCAGTAAAAGGGAAGGGGAGGGCCCTTTCCAGCCTGTTTTGGCCTTGAAGGGTCCAGGCCTGGCGACAGCCACAAGATGACTTGCTACTCACCTGACTTGCATGACTCACTCAGGCCTGGCTGCTTGATACTGTTCCACAGCGCATACTGTTCAACCCCATGAAAGCCAGTGTGCTGTAGAATTTCAGACTGGGATCTGGGAGGCCCAGGTTCAAATCCCCACTCTGCTGTGGAAGCTTGCTTGGTGACCTTGGGCCAGTTACACATTCTCAGCCTTCCCTGTTGTGAGGATAAAATGGAGGAGAGGAGAATATTGTGAGCTGCTTTGTGTCCCCATTGTGGAGAAAAGTGTGGTATAAATTAGATAGATGATGTAGGAGAGAGAAAAGGTAGGCAGATTGGGTGGAAGGAGTAGGGTTGCCAAGTGGTTTTTGAGCCGCAGCAGGGGACTCCCGGCTGGTGGCTGGAGTGCGCGCGCGCTTGCTGCACGCACATCACCCGGAAGTGACATGATGACGCCGGGCACGCTGGGGGCGGGGCCACGACCATCCGAGGGAAAACCATAAACCCCAGCGTGCCCGGCGTGGTCATGTCACTTCCGGGTGACGTGCACGTCAGGGTGGGGTTTCCCCCGGGGCCCGATCCGCCGGCGGCGGGGAACGGGCCTCTGGGGTGGGGATTTCCCCGCCCCCCCGGGGGGACTTGGCAAGCCTAGGAAGGAGAGAAGGAAGCAGGAAAAGGGGAGAGGATACAGGGGCTGCCAAGATGAAATAGTATGGGTAAAGAATGCAGAGGAAAGTGAAGCAACCCTGCAAGTCCTTGAGGGTTCCCTATGGTACAACTGGGCCTGGCCCAGCAGCCAGTAACTTGGACCATAGTTTTCCCAGGTGGAGTCTGCTGGGGAGGGGAAGATGGAGAAAATAGGTACACTGGTGGAGGGGGGAAAGGGGAGAGGCTATGGGGCTTTCAGGGAAGCAAAAGAGGAAATAGAGAAGGAAAATGAGACACCTCCAGCAAGTCCTTCTGGGTCTCCCCCTTGCCAATATATGTACTTTTCAATATGACCAAATCTGTAGATAGTTAAATCTAGATGCCTGAGCCAAGAACAGATGAGACAGATCATTCTACAAACCTGATAAACCCTCAGGTTTCAAAAATTTGAAATATTTAAAAGGGGGAGGATAACCCTCCAAATAATAGAAATAGTGTCTGTAGCGTTAAGAAAAAATGCTCTCGGCTATTGTTAGGCAACCACACAGTATTCCCCTGCCTTCCAGGCTTTGTTTCTGCCAGTAAAAAGCAAGGGAGGGCTCTTTCCATGCCTTTTTTTGTGCTCGAGGGGCCAGGCCTGGCAGCAACCACTGAGCAACTTAATACAGCATGACCGTCCTGACCCAGTCCTGGCTACTTGCCACTGTTCAACTGCAGCCACCCAACAAAAGCCAGTGTGGTATAACAGTTAGCATTTCAGAGCAGGATCTGGGAGTCCCAGGTTTGAATTCTCATTCTGCCATGGTGTTCACTGGGTGACCTTGGGCCAGTCACACACAGCCTAACCAATTGCACAGGCTGCTGTTATGATACAATGGTGGACAGGTGAATGATGTAATATGCTTTGGGTCCCCATTGAGGAGAAAGGCAGGGTATAAATAAATAATAAACACAGGAAAATGAGTGGCAGATAAAGCACAGGTTGATAGGTAGAAAAAGAGAAGATTTTTATACCCTGCTTTTCTCTACCATAAGGAGTCTCAAACAATCAGCTTTCCCTTCCTCTCCCCACAACTGGCACCTTGTGAGGTAGGTGCAGCCGAGAGATTACTGAGGGAACTGACTGGCCCAAGGTCACCCAGCTGGCTTTATGTGGAGGAGTGGGGAATCAAACCCAGTTCTCCAGATTCGAGTCTGCTGCTCTTAACGACTATACCACACTGACTGTCATGATGGATGGCTAGGATGGAGAGAAGAAAACAGGAAAAGGGGAAAGGCTATGGGCACTTTCAGGGAAGGGAAGAGGAAATAACCGAAGGGGAAAATGAGATGCCCCCTGCAAGTCCTTGCAGGACCCCCAGCTGTGTAATTCTATGAAGATATGATTATATAGATCAACAATATTTTCCTCGATGTCAAAGCAAAGGCAGCTACCATTCTGATGATCTCTCTGCTGTTTGCAAGAATGCAATATCTGAAGGACCCTCTCCTTCCACATGTCACTGTGTGCCTTCTTGGAGATCTTCAGGAGGTGCTGCAAGGCCTGCCTGTTTGCCAGGGCTATTGATGGGATTTGAATTGCAGGCATCGTTTAAGGGGAGAGCAGGGAGAGATTTGGGGTTTGCTATTTCTGGTTTAAACAGAAAACGTTTTTAACTATTATCATAAGCCTCCTTGAACCACAAGGAAAGGTGAGATATAAATGTTTAAATGTTTAAATAAATAAATAAGATAGCTGTTATGCCACACAGTTTCCTCAACCCTGGGAATCAACTTTCCATAATCCTTATGCCAAATGATCTCTGGGTCCAACCACAATTTTCAAATACAAGGTAGGTTCTAGAATTTTTAGGCTCTGTGCAGGCCAAGCTTATCTGCATATGTTTTCCCCCCAAAATTTCAAAACATCAGAGGTCATTTTTTCGCTAAACTAGGTTCAAACTGCTATGTTCGAAATAAACAACCCAGAAGTTAACTTTTGGCTTCCTTGATTTTGTGTGGCAATTTTTTCATTGATGCAGTAAAATTTACATGCAGAAATCAGTTTTGTCAACAACAACAACAACAATACATATACTGCCAGAGTTTCCCAAACCAATTAAGGAAGGGACCTCAGCTGAGTCCGTTTTTCAAAGTATTTTCGTTGTAACTGAGAAATCAATTGTAACTGAACTGAACATGCTATGGCCCTTATGACACAACGCTGGATACTGCCTTTGGACCACTTTATAGGTTGCAACGCTGGCTACTGCCTTCTCTTATTGGATTGCATCATAGGAACTGCCATCTGTATGTACTAGCACTTTATGTAATTGTTGTTTATGTGAATTTTATCGCATTTTATTGTTAATAAAACAATTGTATTTTAATCTGTCTGTACGCCGCCTTGAGCCAGTTTGTCCAGCAAGGCGGGA